CCATAAGACAGAGAACAGTGTTTAAAACATAAATCTTTTAATCTAAAATAAAATATGTTACCAAAATCATATCCAACGTTTATTTTCCATAACAAATGGAAGGAAAAAAACCTTTCCTGTGAAAGTAATTCCTTTCTCAAACTTAAACATATCAGGTTCTAATAGTGAGAAAATAACATGTGCTGCTAGCATATTGTGATTATACTCAATTACAGCTTTTTTCTCCATTTTCCAAACTGTAGTAAAAAGAAATTTGTTCTATTTCTGTCAGCACTGCAGGCAGACTAGTCTAAGTGAATTCATTTTCACTGATTTTCACAGTCATCTGTAAACAAGATTTATTAAAATAATTGAGGATTTTGTAATTTGTGCAGCATTTAACTCAGAATTTGGAAGTGTTAGAAGTACTAATATACTTAGAATTGATTTGTCTTTAAATTAGGAAGGACTCGCAGATATTGCTGGCTCCTAATGGAATCATAATCAATTCTTAACCATTGAGTTCGTGCTTATTTTTGGAGAGTGTATATTTGAGGGAAGAACAGTGACATTGCTCTGAGGAGAAAAGCAACCTGATACAGTCAGCATGCATGGAAATGCCACACTCAAATTACACCTTGCATTTTTCTGTACTAATCAAGGATTTCCTTATTAGAGTGCAAAAGTTAGAAAGGATGCTGTCCAGAAGTGCTGGGCTGCCACCCTTGGGCTCAGGGCACGTGGAAGTGTTTGATCAAATGTTGGCTAACATCACAGCCTTCTAACACTTTTCCTGTTAACAAATCCCTCATTCCACTTGTACCTGTTGTTCTAAACCTACCGCATGAATGAGCAGTGCTCACTTCATGTCTTCCCATCTAAGCAAGGAGGAGCACGCAGATCTCTCTGCTGCTGAGCCACAGCGTCTACCCTCTGCAGAGGGTTCCCCCTCTCCTGTAGATAAGCAAGAGGGAAGCCACACCTGTCCCTCTTTTCAATACAGAAGGCTGCAGGGATGTAAAAGCAGCAAGATGCATCAGCCCAGTTGGCGCGTGCTGCAGAAGAGTACCAGGCATGCAGGGAATAGGAACAAGGGTTCAATTTCCCCCCACAACCTGACCACCTCCTGCATCTCTCTTAGCAGTTACAGATCTCAGCTGCATTTTGAAGCTGTGCCTCTGACAAGTTCTTGCAGCATCACAGCTTTGCTCCATCTCTTCTGTCTGCCTGGTGTGACAGTCTGTCCTTGGCCAGAGCTGTGCTTTGGTCAGTTGGAGGTTCATTTAGTTTGGATTTCTTGGGATTTGATTTTTTTTCCCCTTTACTGTTATGTCATTTGCTGTATATAAATCAACCTAATATCAACTAGAATAACTAATGATGGATACTGTGGGTCCTCTGAAAAAAAACCAGCTGCTTTTAGAGTGACATAATTGGTATAAAACTATTCTCTCCAAAGTAATGCAGTAACAAATTAAGGCGACTGTTGCTAATTCCTCCTTGTATGTATTCTGCTCTGAAAGCATCTTCCTTAGCAGTGTTGTTGGATTTCTTTTTTACCTCCCAGTAGCATTTGCATCATTATCTTCCTTTCTACCCTTCTCTGACCATCTTGCATTTTTCTGTCTTTCTCTGACTCCCTGCATCATGTTTATCAGTAATTAAAATGTCTGCAACAATTATACTGAATTTAGGCAAATTGATAACATAATTCCAGAAAGTCAAACAACTGTCTTCTTGGCATTTCTGCAATGGACATGCAAGAAGAGAATAATCTTGGTGAATTTCTATTTGTGAAGTAAGAGCTGAAGTAATAGCTGAGATTGTTCCATCAGCAGTGATTGTCCTCATCATGAAATCTCCATTGCTGAAGAACAGAGGAAGCTGTACAATTCTTAAAAATGAATTTTTAAACATATAGAGCAGAAGTGCTGAAAGGCACTCAGAACCACATGGAGCAATTGCTTCCCTGCTGAAAAAAATATTGGCTGCTTTACTACTCATTATTTTACAGATTGCTTTATAATCATGGTTAAGAGAATTGGACCTGGTGCATAATGTATATTCTTTAATGCTGTAATTGTGTCCTGTTGATTTTCACTCTACTGTCTATTCAGCCTCTTGCATTGAATTGAATATTTTTATGAGCAACCACATCTGATCAGTAGGTTTCCCTGAAAATCTGGGTGGGATCATTGTCTGATGTCATTGACCTGCCTCTCCTGGAGTATCCAGGTAATCCTGGTGTGTGCACATATGAAAAATACCACGTAGTTTTTAAATTCATATATTTTACATTATTGAGCATAGCAAAGTAAAATTCAATGTAATATTTTACACTGCTTTAAGAATACAAGGAAATTTCACTCATTCTTGTAGGGTTTGGAGCTGCTTTATACAGTGTTTGATATAACAGTGATGTTTGTTTATTATATTTTCTTGATCAGCATCCAGACCTTTATAAGCACACATGATGAACCTGAATGTCAGTGCAGAGTGATGGCATCCAGTGCTGTCCCTTTCAGTCTCCCCTGCTGTGCCAGCTGGGGTCACACCTCAGGGATGGCCCTGGAACGAGCTCAGGCCCACGTGGCATCAGTGCCCCACCAAAGAAGGCTCACACATTAACTTCCAACTGCCCTTTTTAACTTCAGTTACTCTTTCTAATTTGTTTTTTTTTTTTTCGTTATTGGACAGTATTATGTTTAATTCTAAGGCTTTGATAGCATATCATTAAAAAAGAAGGCAACTTAAGGTAGAAAAATTATGATGGTAAAAAAAGAAGGTAAATTATATTTGTGCCAATTCCGATTCTCCTTGTGGGACCTACAGAAAAGCCCACTGAAATCAGCACAAGTAACCCCATCAGTTTTCCTGGCACTTGATCTCATGCCAACTTTAATAAAGAACAACCTGTGCCCTGTTGAGCTGCATTTATGGGTAAGCTTTCCCAGAGCTGCGCAGTGCAGGCACTGACCTACTGCAGCCCAGTGCAGCGGGCAAACAGTGCTGTACACAGGTGCCGTATCAGTGCACGGGCAACACAGCAGTGTGGCATTCCTCATTATTGAGGAAAGTTAACTGCAGATTGTTACCAGGCAGTATATTAAAATGCATACAAAAAACCTCTTTTTTTCCTCTTACGTTCGCATGTGACTGATTATTAGCTCTCAAGTTGGATTGTGATTCCATAGACTACTTCTGTGCATTATTAAGTAAAAATTGCCATAATCAATCTCAAAAATTCTATCAAAACATAAGAGCTGTGATTTCATAAATCCTTCTGTTGCTGCCACTTGATTGTAACAGTGCCACCTGAACTTATGTGGAGGGTTAAAAAAATAACGAGATGCACGTGCAACACAGGTCAAAATTTATGGTGGTTTCAAAGCCATCATTCTAGAACTCTCACATAACTGTCCCAGAAAACCCTTCAGTTCCACATCAAGGCTTTAAGGACTCTGCTGGCTAGAGAAAGAACCTGCAGCCAAGATGGATATTCAGAGTTGCTCAGTGTTTTTAAATTGTGAACAAAATTACTAGCTTTTCTTCATTGTATCTTAGAATGCATATTTTTATTTTTAAAATAGTCATACCATATGTGTAGCAGAGACATTACTACATTGGATATATGAAATGCCAGTTTATTTGCATAAGATTTCCTCCTTAATGATTGCTATACGTGAAAATTAGGACAGCGCTTACTTTTGCATAAGCTAGGAAAGGTGTGCATGTGCTACAGATTGACTGAATAGTGAGCCCAGCAGGAAAAATGCCCAAAGCACGCTTTATTTCTGCTGGAAAACAAATAGATGCTCCCCTGCTACAAGTTTCCTTTCTCCGGTAATGTTGTAATGCATAAAGACTTTACTATATTAACTCTGCAATAAAAAGTCATCTTTGAGTGGACAAGGTCTGTGAAGCCAAGTCCTCTTGCTCTGCAGTGACATACACATAGCTTTTTTTAGAACATACTTAAATTATAAGAGCACAGTCTATGCCCATTTTCCATCCCTCTCTTCCATTGTCTTCAAAATAGGAACACAGCAGAAGTTAGGGGAATATTTGTATAAAGTACCAATTATTTTTAATGCTAAGCATGGTTTTTGTTTTCCTGTGTCTGCTATACACAAAGTAACACAACTTAGGATTCTGAGTATAATTTAAAATTCAGATTTGCTAAGAAGAATTATGGTGAGAATCTCAAAAATGTCAAGAAAATGACTCAATTTAAATGCAAGATTTAAAGTTGGAGCCCACTATTCCTCAGATTTCCTGTATTGATTTTAGTTCTACAAGAGAAGTGTATTTCGTGCTATTTTGGCTCTTATCTCTGATACAAAAATGGAAAAATGAGTTGTGGGGGTGGGAGAAAAAATTGAAAAATGTGGATAAGCTCTAATAACCTTAATAGTGCTACTGAATTTTGCGTTGAGCCCACTTCAGGTTGGGAGCTACCATGCAGGTCACTGTTCCATTTACAGTAATTGTCTGCTCCCTAAACGGAAGTGGTTTTCTGGTGCCAGAAATTGCACTCCTTCAGAAACCGAGCGTGTGTGGGTTCGGCTCCTGGCAAGGACAATTTTTGGCATTCAGATAGTGTGGTGCCCTAGAAATAACTACGATAGACAGAACGAATGAGTGAGGTTAGCATGCTAGTCACAGTTATACTGAGTCATGTGTATACATTTATTTCACTGCTGATTGCTAAAGGCAGTGCGAGAGTTTGAGGCTGGGTCATGTTGCACAAAGGACATCAGCTGCGCTGTCTTGTCAAAGCCAAAATAAGGGATGCTAAAAGGACAATGTTCCAACTTTAGAAACACATTCAGTGGTAGTGCTGTGCTTTCTAATCACAGGAAATTAATTTGACTCTTAATTTATATTGGATTACATTAAAAAGAAGTTGTTTATAAACTCTGTAGTGCTGGTGTCTCTAAAGCAGATGAAATGATCCTTCAGTTACAAGCGTCTCAAACAGGGACAGTCCTTTCTGTGTGCTTTGGAAACCATCTAGTTTGCATTCAAAGTGAAGGTGATAAAAATACAATGAAGAAGGTTCCAGAAATTCCACTGGGGAAGGTGTTTGCAAGGATTAAAAAATCTCTAATGCTTCTCCAACAGAGTGCAGATGTGCCAGTGCTTGCTTTGGTGGGGTTTGTGAAAGGCTAGCAAAATGCTGGGTTGATAATGACTTGCAATCGTTCCGTGGAATTTCTTTGTAACTCTTAGGAAGAATTGTTATCTAAACACTGTACTTTGGAGCACCTGTAATCGAGGCTGGAGATGTGAATATTGATTGTCAGCCAATGCAGATTCTTGTTTGAAACAGTCTGTTTGGATAAGAAGGAAAAATTATGTAATAACAATGTTTTTCACAGCTAAAACACTGGCTGTTAGTGCAGCATTCATTTTCTGTCTTTTGGAGCAGTTATTTCTTTTCCTTTCTCTCCTCAAAAGCATTTTCAATCTGTTGTTATTACTTATCCTAATACCAGGAGAAGTGTTGTCAGAGCAATTACGAGTCCTGAGCCATTTCAGAGGCTCATTGCATTTAGTTTAGTGATGTCTTCTGCAAGAGTTTACCATCCGCCCACAGTTTAGTATCCACTAAAAGTTAGCGGAAGAAATGGAGCTGCTCATGGAGAAGAGGAACCTGAGGGCAAGGGAAGCATTGTGTGATTCTCTGTGCAGCTGTTCTGGTGAGATGAGGTTTCTTGAAGCTCTCAGATATTTGGTGCTTTGAACGAAATTGCATACTTTGAGAGGTAGTCTCTGGGAGAGCATTGCTGTCTCACGGATTAGTACTTGCGTGCGGAGTGGCAGACGACGTGCCACAGCCTTTCTGTTTCAAAGTCTTGCTGCAGTGCAGTCTACATGCTAGTGCTGTTGCCTTTCAACCTGCTTTTCAAGATGTTTTTTGCTCACTGCCCCAGTTCTTTTTGGAGCCTTCCACTGTAATCCTGCTTTCAGTCAACACATTAGAATTGGGAAAGCCTTGCAGTGCAGAAATCTGCACTGGTGTTGAATCCTCACATGACTTCCAGTCAGTTGATCTCTTACACCTCCCGTCTCCCTGCAACCAGAGCTCTGTTGCTTCTGCAGAATTAATCTACTAGCACACAACTCATTTCAGACAAAGAACCGACTTAATTTTCAGCAGAACTCCTGGCACACCACGAAGAAGCCCATCTGCTGTTGGGTGCCCGCTGCACGCGCATCCCTGCCCCAGGTGTCAGCCAGAGCGGGGCCAAGCCGCCTCCGTCCCCATGGCAACCACACATGGCGTCACCATGGCAACACACTGCACCACGGGATGGAGCCCGCGCCCAAACCCGTGCAGCAATCCCACTTGTTAAAGCACTTGGAAATTGAAAAAAAAATTGTAAAAAAAGAGAAGGAAAAGGCAGCATTGAAAAGCATTGCCGTTTCTGCTGAATAACACACAAGATGGATGGCTGCTGAGATTGTAGTGTTTTCGTCTTTGCTGTTGCATTTGAGAGGGAAATGCCTTCATGATGATCTTTTCCTTTACTTCTAAAATGGAATAACATAGGGCACATCTGTAGTGCATGTGTGTAGAAATTATGAGTACAAAAACACAGATATGTCACAGGGGGAATAGTGAGTGTGCCCATAAGTACCGCCATAACGCGCTGTGTCTCATGCTTTCAATTTAGAATGTGCAACTGAAAAAAGTTTGCATGAGATGGAGTGGCTTAATTCCTTATATGTAACCTGCTTCTCTTTTGTGTCTATTCCTGTGTGTGTTTGAATGCATCCATGTGCTTATTTCAGTTGTCTATTTTTTAAGTTATTAGTTTTTAAACAGTAATCTTAAAATATGGTTGACATTTTGCAATGCAGAATACATATTCCTTCTTGCTCTTCTAATTGTTGTTGGGCTATTTCTTGTCTTCACATCATTGTACACATCTGCTGTACCTGCACAGCAGAGGAAGAAGAGACATGAGCACCCGTTGCAGGTGGGCAGGGTTTCACACCGCTGTCCTCCAGGGGAGCAGGAGAGGAACACAGGGCCCAGCAGTGCAGCAGGCTGAGGGGTTTTCTCCTGCCTTCTCTTCCTGGGGAGCTGGGCCACAGTCAGTTTGACAAAGGCTCATTGTCAAGTACATGTAGAGGATTATGTAGGAAGTTGGAAATAGAAGACTGAAATTACAGCCTGTTTAAATCCTAACCTGTAATTCAATTTGACTATACCTCAGTGGTTTCAACAGTCAGAACTCAGAGGGCATAATTTGAAGGCAGTTTGTAAATGAGAGTAAAAGGCAGGTTGTCACTGGCACACCAAGCAGACCTTTGGGCCAGCTGCACGGCCAGCTGTGCTCTGCCCCAGCATCGCCTCAGCCCAGCAGTGTCCTGCTGCCATGTGGGCTCCAGGGCTGGCTCGACCAACCCTCAAACTGCAGAACTGCTGCTCTGTGCTGTATGGAAGAGTCCCTTTCTAAACGTACTCATGGAAAATTTTGAGAAAAATCACAGCAACCCTTCTTGAGACTCACCGTCTTAGATAAAATATATCACAAATGCACCTTTGAAGATCCATTTTAATCATTTCTGTTCTAACTCCAAAGTGTCTTTGGTTTAATACTTCAAATATAGCTTAGCATAGCTAGGAGTGAGCTGTTATGGCTTACATATGTATGGCTTACATATGAAATACAAAGTTCTGAATGTTTGGAAAGTTCTATCATGCTGACTAAGTTTTCTTCTTTGTGGCCACTGTTGTCACTTCATCCTTTTTAAAATTTATGTATTGATTTGTATTTGCTTCTTCTTTTCAATCAGCAGCTCTGCATTCAGTTGGCATTTTAAAATATTTTCCTGTTACTTTCAAAAAATGTGGTGCAGCCTGCTAGTGTTTTAGCTGTAGCACTGTATAACTAATTCAATGTATTCAGACCGAACCTAGGCTGCAAATAACCAGGAAGGTCTAAAAGTGTTTGGACCTGAAAATATCACTCAACAAATCCCATGCACAGCTATAAATCATGATATTTCCTTACTCCTTACATTTTTTATTTAATTTTATAGGGCTGTTGCTGTTCTGTTGTGGTCTCTGTGTGTAATCAGATAGTACTCTTGACCTTGGCCCAGATTTAATGTGAACCTCTTTTGTTTCTCGGAGTTCACTGTGCTAAATTTTGATAGCAAATGTTCGAGACAGTTTACTGGGATTACGTGCAAGTTTTTTTACCAAACAATTATGCACGTCTGCTATGGATTTGTCTTTTTTATGCTATGTGAAAATGATTGCTACTCCACGGTTGTCACTAAAAAGACATGATAAAAGTTATGTCTGAAGCTGTGGATGTTCTGACAATATTTCAAAATATATTTGAGATTTCTTAATGATATATTCGTATATTCAGAAAAGTAATAGGGTTTGTGTGTCATTTTTTTGTACATTTGGCTCTCAGCTATGTTAGTTGAAGACTGTTACTAAATACTCAGTCTGCGATACGTTTAATATTTGGTAATAAGAGATGAACTGTAGCCAACAATACACGATGTGTTTTTGTGCACTCACACCTGTTTTTTTGTTTGATACAGAGGGTCAGCATACATCAAATCACCGCAGTTCTCCTAGAGCTCGGGAAGTCCCTGAGCCTGGCAACAAAAGGTTGTGGCTACTGCAGGGCTTCTTTCTCTGTGTTCTGGTGTTCTGAGGCAACTGTGGAGCCAGCAGTTAGTCCTGGTTGAAGGAATGCTGTCAGTGACCCCTCTCTCAATCTGACATAAAACACTATTCAAGGTGGAAGAGCCTACGCAAGGAATGACATCATCTGCTGTTGCACTAGCTGGTGTGGATACATAATAGGATCCATTACCTCAAAGTGGGGACTTATTTCAGGCAATTAATCATTTGCAGTAACTCTGGTTGGTGCACACTACCAGTCAGCTGGCAAGAAAGCAATTGCATAGCCCTCTTCAGACTACAACTGTATTCAGCCCAAAAGTACTATTTTGACCTTGGCTTCCTCTTTCCCCACTGGATTCAGAACAGCACAGAGTTTTATTTTAGCAATGATAAGCTCAGGATTGATTATATTCCCTTCTGGTGCCAGTGAGAAAGCCTTACTATGACCACTCAAAGCATTAGTTTCAGAAAGACATTGACTAAAATTCATTCTCTCTGGTGGAAGCCCTCCAGCTCCATCCTGACAAACCAGCAGTATGGATGTGCTGCAGGTATGCCAGAGACTTACATGCTCAAGAGCTCTTGCAGATATTCCACACTCAGGCCCATCTTATCTGTTCCAGATAAGTCCCTGGATTTCTCAACCTTGCAGGCAGTGCACACAGCCTGCAAGTTCCAACTCAAGGAAAAGCAGAACTTGCTGTTCTGAAAAGCGAGTGCTGAAAAGCACTCGTTTGCTTGAGCACATTGAGGGGACAGGGCAGCCCCAGCAGGGCCTGGGCACATGGCCTGCAGGTGAGCTTCCAGTGCTCAGGGAGAAAGCCAGGTGGAGGACAGCAACACCTCGGCTGCTGTCAAAGCAGCACAGACCTGGCTAACATGCCAGGCTGCTGATTGCCTAAGAGAAGGCTTTGTGGCCCTGTACTTCAGTAGTTCATGAAAAACCCTGCCTTTTGTGAAGGCAGAAAGCACACAAAGCAAATCCATTGAATTTTATGCAGGTCCACCACAAGCACATGGCGTAGCCATGGAAAAATTGGATTACAAGATCTCTGTTATTTTCATTTGTAGTCTCTAGTTCAGCATACTGCAAAGCTGGACTTCAGGTCGTGATGACACCTCATGTAAGTGTAAAGTGTATTGGTTTTAATAAGCTATTATCCTCCATTGTAACTGTGTAGGTCTCAAATAATGCAGTGTCTGCCAAATAATTTGTTTCATCTGAAAATTAAATGAGAATTTTAAACATCTGAGAAAGGTAATAGACTGTGTATATTTTTGTGGTGATTATTTGCACATCTTTATAATTCAGACATAAACGAGGATGACTCTGTGGCACATAACTGTAACAAGTGCCTTTAACTACGTTATGAAATGTCTCCATGGCAACATCCTTTTGCTCATCGTATTTATAGTGAGAAAAAGAAAACAAGCAAAAATAATCCTAACCCTGAAACCTTTCTGAAATCTAGGGGTTGAAAGGTATCTGAAGTCAAGGTTCTGATCCTTAGATCACGTTACCAGAGAAATAAGAACTAGAAGTAAAAGCAGAATGTTTCTTTTGATTTCAGCTTTATATGAAAATACCAAGACGCTGTGACCAATTACAACTTGTTTTTAACAGAAGAAAGTTAGAAAAAGGATGGTGTGTTTGCTGGCTTATCGCAGAGCTGACCATGCTGAGTCAGACACACAGGTATAGCCCCAGAAAGCCAGAGGAGAAACCCCTCTGGAAATATCCCCTCAAACATCCTTCTTGTACTTTGGTACCACGTAAATGTGACTCAGAATGGACTGGAATCCTCCTTGTCGGGGCTTTATGGAGCTGCAGTGTTTTACCTGTTCTCTTGCTACCTTCTTTCTGTAAAGTCTTTTGAAATCTTCAAAATGCTCAGGTAAATTGGGAAAAATAATTGTAAAAAGGGTGTGTAAGGATATCCACACTGAAGAACTGCACTGTAAGTGCTCCTCTCAGTTTGTCTACAGGACTACAGCTGAAGATAATCCTGATAAAGATTCAGAACAACATTTGATCCCAGCTGTAATATCTGTTCTTGCATCCCTACCCATTTCCCTATAGTCTCCACAGCCCTGTTTTAGAGGAACACTTGATGATTGAAGCTGAAAGAGGATTCCAATCTCAGTGAAAGGTTCAGCTACAGCTCAAGGCAACAACAGTGTCTCAGGCCACCAAAAATGGGCAGATTCTTAGATAATTCACCACCTACAAATTCCTTGCAGCTGTGGCAAAGTGTGTGGATGATCTGAGTATCTAAGCAATCTTTTTTTTTTAGGTATGAATACAGGGTCTAGAATTTATCTAATTATTTTAGGAATTATTTAACTTATTTCACTGCAGTTCATTCCCCATTCATCTAACCATTTTAGAACAAGTTCCTTGTTTATAGTCAATATAAATAGGGAAGGAAACCAAGGGAAAATAAAAAGATTCTGAATTAAAACCAGAAAGTATTTTTAATCCTTCGTGAATTATTCATTAATACTTCCCACAAAACACCTCCTGCATTCTCCAAATGTTCTATAAAGTGCTGCCATTTTAGGTAGATAAAGGCAGGATAAAATAATTGCATTAAGCAAAACTCCTTTTTTCTCACAAAAAAAACTACTATATAGTGACTTTTTACCCATTGTCTTCTGCAGTGGAAATAAATCCTTCAACTCTCAAGAGAAAAAAAAATGCTGTAAACTGGAATCTGTACAGGAGCTTGAGCAGTGGGACAAATTTTAGGGCCCTTGGATGCATGTATGCAAAGGACTAGAGAATCATTCTCAATCACTTCTTTGTGATCCTGTTTGTAGAGAAAAAAATGTGGTACTGGTACCAAAGCAAGATGTTCCGTCCCTACGCTGTGTCCATCAGTGTTCTGCCCACAGCAACATGAGCCAAGTGGAACAGGGAAGAGTTTGAAGGTGAGTCCGTAAGACCTGGCTGGAGTGATGACATCTAAAGAAGTCTAAAACCTGTCAGAGATGGAATTTGCTAGATATTAAGTTTAAAAGTGGACAATGAGCTTGTTCAAGTTTGGCTTCCTTTCTTTCTCTTAAAGATATTTTCCGTATAAAATCAGGTGCTCTGATAGAGCAGGTTTTTCGATCATTCCCCAAAATGGAATAACATTTTTTTCAACATGTTAAACTTTCTGAACCATCTCTTAATTCTATATTGTTACTCCAAACCCAGCACAACAGCTTCCTGATCTGTGCACTCAATCTAATAAGTTTTGATGATCGCACTGCGGCACACACCTTGGAGCAGAATGTTTTCTGCTTGCACGTACAACCCAAGTCTTACACTGCGAAGCTGTGTTAAGTAGGAACAGCACATCAATATTCTCTGCCTTTAGACTTTGCTGCTACTTCAGAATTAAATGCACAGAGTGCAGCTGGTGATGAGGAAGTCGTTGTGCCCATCATTTAGGTCATGGGAGGAGACAGGCAGCCAATGCAGCGAGCAGGAGGCAAGGTTTGTACTGGTTTGTTTTGGAAATAATGAGCAGCACTTAACAAATCTGTCTGTGCAGGGGGAGCGTGCAGCAACCTTGATCAGCAATCAGAACTGTCTCAGGTATTCAGAAGGGATGGACTTACAGAAGGAACACTGCGCGTAAACCAACACCCTCCTTTAATACTAATGTTTCCCAGTCCAGGGTTCTCACACACCAGAAGTACAGTCCTTGCTGAGGGTAGGTTGCCCTTGACTACTAAAACCTGAAACCTTGAGCTGCCTAATACAAGACACGAGAAAGAGGGGGAGAGAAAGCTTTTTTGTTCTGAGTATGTTCTTGGCTATGCAAAAAGTGCATATTTTGCCACTCTGGTGCCCTGAGTGATCAGCAAAGCTTAATTGTTTGCTTAAGCAGCCTTTGGAGCAGTAAGAGCAAGCAAAGCTATAAATTGGCAGGGCTGGCCAGTGCAGTTGAGCAGCAAAGACTTTCAAAGGGATGGTTTTGCTCCCAAGTGCTTATTGTCAGCTCTTTGAGTTAAACAGATCTTAACAACCCAAACAAAAACTCCGCAGGGGAGCCTTTTACAAACAAAGGAGCCATGCTCCAGCTACATCAAAGCTTCCAGGCCTTTCTAACCTCTGGGGGCAGTTTGTTTCATCTGTGGCCCCTAACGCCGTGCTAACGTCAGTCTTCCCGCCTACGAGCGAACCGTTTTGCTGGAGTTTCCTGATCGAGCTTAAAGCTGACTTCATTTAAGGAACAGCCTTGCTTTAGGCAAAGCACAGCCTTCTCTCTTTCAGAGCCCAGCTGCCCCATGGAAGGTTTGTGAGCGCTGTGCTGTGGAGCTGCTCGGGCTGGCTGTGCTCTCCCAGCTGTCTTCTGTGTGGGTTGGAGAGTCATGGGGCAGCTCTGAAGATAAGATGATGCCATTTATTTTTGTCTTTTCTCATTTCCGTTTCTGTACCTCAGCCCAGTGTAAATAAGAGATAGTAATAAGAGATTGCAATTTCTAAAATGTTCGTGGTAGTGAAATTCCAAGCACGTTTAAGAGAGAAGAGCATTACTTTTAGCGTGTTTTTTGGTGTGATTTTGTTCAGAATAGGGCAACGTTAAAACTGCAGCGACAAGGGGGATCTTCAGGTAGCTGTGAAGAACTACAACAGATTATCAGGAATAACACTGCAAATATTCATAAAAATTCTTAATAGCCCCACAGAGGAGTTAAAGGATGTGTTTTTTTCATGCAATTGTTAAGAGACACATCCAGGGCATTTCATGCCCCATACTCGTCGTGGTCTGATAACGTCACCGCTCTTTAGTCCTCTTACCCATATGGCCTTTTCAGACAACATTTTGCTGCCCGTAATAAACTGGGAAGCTGTGAAGACCTTTCCTTGGTCTTCTCGTCTCTGTACCTTCAGTTTTCATAAGCCAAATGGGTGATTGTGTAATCTTAACAGTAATACAGACTTAAAAATATCTTTTCACCTAGGATCATCCTGCTTTTCATTGTGACTGTGTAGGCTGAAGAATTTTGCCTTTGACATTGTATGTAAAGGATTTATTTCTGTCATCCACCGGAACATGCCATACACACTGATTCCTCCTGAAACCTCCATGGCTGGTTACATTTTTAACAATGTCTTACAGACTGCAAAGTACCTAACGTGTCAACCAGATGCCTATTGTATTAAATGAAAAATTATTTTTGATCCTGTCACATTTAAAACTTGAAGGCACAGGCTCCAGACTCCTCCAAGTACTGCATTTTCATTCCCTTTGTCCCACCAGCAAGTGTTTGGTCCAGTTGTCAGATGAAGGCAGAGGGGAGTGAGCACAAGTGCAAATGTTGCTTTTTTTTCTGCTAGATAAGGCCTTCTTTAATTGTGTGAAAATGGGCAGTCGTCACAGTTTGGAGAAGCAGATTTCAGTGGGGTAAATGACATCATGGAAAAGTGTAAACTTCCTGTGGTGGCGACTGCAGAGTGGCACAGGCAGGATGCAGTTACTCCTGCGGCCCTCAGCACAGAGCCTCGCTCGGCTTCTCGTCCCGGTTTTCCCCGGCACTGCGGATGGCTGGGCGGCAGCATTCCTGCCCCAGGCACAGCAAGGCCACTTCTCCCATCCTCACCCCTCTGGTGCACTTGGTGGAAATGGGACTGGCTTCTTGTAAGCTCATTTCATTTTTACAATTTTGCTCATAGTCTGACAGGGCAGTAATCATAATTTAAGAGGAATTTATTTATTACAGAATATTCCTCTATATTATATGGTTTTGTACTCTTTTTGGCTTTGGGGTTGTTTTTAGTTTGTTTTTGTTTGTTGGTTTGTTTGCAATAAAGAATGAATTGCTGTGACTCTGAAGTGAAGACTTTAGATCCAGCTTCCAGTGCATATTGTTTGTGCTCCCATCAATTTTGCTCCCAGCCTAACTCATCTCTGCTGGAATACCAGATGTGGGCATGTTAAATTTAGGATATCTGTAAAGCCTTGTGTGCCACAGATGCCTTTTGCTAGGTAGTACAGGGTTTCAAGTGCCAGTAAAGTGTTTTCCAGATGGCCATTGGGAAATTCCAGTGTCACTGTATTCTCTAGACTACAGTTCTGATCAGCCGTATTGAAACACTGAGTTCAAAGTGCGGGAAATGCAGAAAGAATATTCCCAAGAGAACAGGAAGTCCATTTTATGTGAGGCATTTTAAGAGTTTATCTCATTTAGCTCAACAAAAGAAAGCTGAGAGGAGATGTGATTATTCTTGGAAAACATATTTGCAAAATAAATAGCACAGAGGAAAGAGAAACAGCACAAAAAACCAGCCACAGATAAAGCAGAAGCAGATTTCTAACTTGAAGAGAAGTCAAGTTGTGAAGAGAACTCACAGAAGAGTGTCAGAGAAACAGGTTTAGGTGGGTTTGAAAGGTGCCAGAATTTTATGCTCACCAACTCATCCCATTTGCTTCAGTTTCACTGTGCTGTAAAGCCACAGGAACTCCATGGTTACAGTTGGGGTTTGACCACTGCAAAATTTTCACTGCATGGATTAGATCCTTGGTTTTAAAGTTCATACTTTATGAATGGCAGTTGTTGAATTATAAATGTATACCACATCTTCTAGAAAGAGCAGACTTGAAAATCTGGCACTAAATAATCTGATTTCCATGAAAGATACCAGGGGAGAGTGTTCATGTTTTAAGCTGCTAACTTAGACTTACAGCAAGCTCTGTTTCTGTGAAGAGGGATGTAACAAAATACCTGGGAAAGCTGCAGTGATTACAGTACTGTAATTCTATAGAACATATGTTCTATGATATTAATGAAATGTATTTTTCCTTGCAGCATTGATGTCTCTCATTGTCTGACGAAGGATACTTGCCTCTTTCAGTGCCAAGGGTAAACAGTCTCACAAAAACCTGCCCAGCACCTTCTGTTATGCTTTTTATGCTGTGTGTGGCACTAATCTTATTTGTTTCTCACTGTTCAAAGCATCTCAGAAGAGAAATAGTTATCTCACAGACTTTTCTGTCTCATTTATCACTCACAACTGTCTCTAAGGGCTTCACAGTGACTAATTAATTTAACTTCACAAACTCTTGCAAGATAAGGGATGGTATTTAATTGAGGCACAGAGAGATGAAGGTCAGAAGTTTCTCTAAACTTGGAAGTGCTGTACTGAGATGCTCTCAGCATGGTGTTTAGAACAATACAGCTTTTTATGTTCAAATTACAAATTGTTATTTGTCACAGTTGGAATAAATAGTGCTCAGCATTTCTGTCAATCAGAGTCTAAGTTCAGGACAGACATCCATAAAATAAGAAATGAATAGTTGTGAAAATATGCTGTCTATAATTGCCTCAGTTACTGAGAGGACAGCAAAAAAAATTTGACAGATGCAAGGCTATAATGTGATGGCACACTATAATCTGAGACAGCATTTCATGTTCAGGATGTTTTCTTCTCCAGCAGCTCTTCTGTGTCATTTTCAGAGATTGCCTCCTCCAAGCTCGAGAGTGGTCCGTCCTGATGAGCAGGAAAGTATGGAAAAGCAGCGGGAGGCCTGTATGGGTGAAGGATCTCCTGACTGACCTTGGCCATAAAGTAAATGCATGCAAGACATGGAAGCAGAGATGAGTGGCCCAGGAGGAAAACAGAGGTACTGTCCAAACCTACAAGGATGGGGTTAGCAATGCCAAAGCCCACCAAGAGTTGAATCTGATCGCAGTTCTGAAGGGCAACAAGAAACACTTCCAGCTTCCTTATCCAATTCTATTCTGTCTCTATCAGTTCAGTCTTCAAGACGTGTTTCAGTTCTATCATTCCCTTTTCCACAGACCTCACCAGTCAGTATAATTCCTTGCTCCATCCTCTTTCCCTGAACTGTCTTTCCCCTTCCTAGTATCTGTATCTCAGATTAGTTTTCTTCCCTTTGGTTCTGACTTCATGCCCATTGCCTCTTCCCGTGTCCATGCCCCACTTGTTTTACTGAGCTAAACGAAATGTTTTTACCAGGCTGAAGTGCTCCATCTGAAACTTTCTGTAGCCTGAAGCAGAAAGCACAGAAAATGCAGCTCACATGGTTGAAGTGTTAAGCGACCTTAGGGACAGACCCACTAACATGCAATAGCGTATTTCTGAAATGACCAGAATTCCCAAATACTGTACAAACAGAGTTATAGGTGATGTCAACTCTAGCACAGAATAGCTTATATCTAAAAAAGGATTTTTCTTCAGGAAATGAAAGAAAATACCTAAAACACCTAAGCGATGTTTATCATTACACTTCCCTAATCTTAATGACTAAAGTATTGAAAAACAAAATTTGGAAACAAATACTGCTCAGAAATTAACATAGAGTGACACTTAGCAGCAGAATCCCACTGCATCAGTGCATAGTTGCTGGAGGCCAATATTTGGAGCTCATATCTGCAACTGTAGAGTTGCATTAGTAGTCTAACCTAAAAGAATACAAACTACTCTATTAAAATTTTTCAAGAAAAATAGTGAAACAAGAATAATTTTTTTATAAGTTGACAGTAAATTTATAGTTTAAATTATTTCCATGGTACTGTTCACATATATAAACATTTATAAATAAAGAAATCCTGCAAAATACGATTTTGGGGATGTTGCTCAATAGCTGACAAGGATGAAGTCAACTGAAATGTATTTTTAACCAGAGGATAAATCCTGTTTGAAAGCTTTGTAAAGGAACCTTATAAATTCTGACAAAAAGTGTGAATTTATTTTATTCTCTAGACCTCAGTTTGGCTTCTGACCATAGGAAAACTGGTGTAAATCTGGAATACCTCCTTTGAAACCAGCTAAGACTCTCAGAATTTATGCTTCCATATGCAAGAGAAGAATTTATCCCATGGGCTCAAAGCCAGCTCTCTTGAGCAGGAGACTAAGTATGGCTGCACAGGGGAGAAGCTGTGGCAGCTGGCCAGCCTTACTCCCAAGAAGATGTGTTAGAAGATGTGTTAGGCTCATCACCAGATCCCTTTGGGCATTCAACATCATGGGAAATAGCCAGACTCTCTTCTGAGTGGCAACTGTTTTAGAGAGCCATCTGAAATCACTCCTAGGAGGCTCAGAGGAGATGGCTACCACCTAAAAGTCCCTTACTAGTTTTTTGGCCTCTTGTTTCAGGGCTGCTGTGACTTGCTCTCAGTCCTCATTCTTTTTGTAACATAATTTACGACCACAAGTAGTGCAACAGGAAAGGGCAAAGATGACAAATATGCTAAACATAACCACCATATACTTGAAAATCTAAACATCAGACTATTCCCTAGCTATGTGATTACAGGCAGCATCAAAGAAAAAAGGCACATTTTCAGTAAATACATCATATTTTGTATACACCGCCTTTGCTTGAAGTAGACAGTCTACAGGAGCACAGCAAACTGGGTTTAAACAGACATCAACCAGAATTTGTGGCTCATCACTTGGGAGTTCCCATGAGACATACAGAGTCATCACATGGAAAAGAGTAAAAATACAAACATAAATGTTGCATGTCTTCAGCATTCTCTTCTCTCCTTCCCAAGACCCTGAGGGATGGTCCCCCCGTCATGCTCCAGTATGGTGGGACACAAGAAGAGCCATCCTCTGACACATTCCCACTTCCTAGCTCTGTGAAATTAGTGTTGGAAAAACATCGGGAGGAAATACGTCTGTTCATACTGTCAGTACTATAAAGGGAACTGGAATGGTTGTGCTGGATGGCTGATTTAGTAGATACAGCTGTTAATACCTTTAAGACCTTCCTGCCCCACTGCTGCTGTCTCCTTTTCTGGGAACTGCTCTAAGATGCTGTAAATGTCCCCTTCTTTGGCCTGTGCTCTGAACTGGATCCCAAACTCCTGTCTCTGGTGTTTCTCCACACTGCTGGAGAACAATTTCAAAACCAGCTTATGTTCCTTTACTAGCATGATGCAGATTTAAATGAGGTGCCCACTCTCCTTTTGAGCACCACATTGGTGTAAAGTGGACTGTCTGCATGCCAGCTCCCAGCTGGAAATTCAGACTGACTTATCTGCCTCCTTCTCATGGCCTTATTCCTTTCCCTTTGGAAGGGAAGGGCATTCTGTGTGCTGTTTCTAAAACCTCAGGTTTATTGGCCAGTCAGATCCAAAAGTTTCTGCAATCAGAAGCTTTCCATGCAGTGACTTTTAGAGGAGACCCTAGTAATCAGAATCTACAGCTCCACTTCATACAGGATTTCTGAGAGGACAAAAAATTAGGCAACTTGAAGATAAAGAGAAATAAACTATTTTTCTAGTCATCAGATGCCATCAGTGCCTTTTTTTAAATACCGATGTAAGAGAGAACCTGTGCAAAGTAACCCAGAACTCTACATCTTCTAGCCCTTGGGTAGCACTTAAACAGAAAAAGAGGTGTGACCAGAGCCAGCCAAAGCCTTCTTAAAGATGTGGAAGGTGGCCACCTGAGTGACGAGGATAGAGGGCAACGCGCGGCTGTCACGGCGAGGAACAGCTGAGAAGGGGAAGGCCGGGGCACCCAGCTTGGGGAGCCGTGCTGCTCAGCAGTGCCGCAGCCGAGGACTGGAGGATGGCAGCAGCATCCTTAAAATGTTCATCCTTAAAATGTTCAGATTTGTGGTAGTAGCAGCCCTGTGTGTTTGTCAGAGCTCTGGCAGAGGAAATGAAAGCAGGAAAGCTATGGCTGTTTTACAGTTCCCAGCAGTTTGCTGCCGTGGGTAACAGCCACCCACGTTGGCGGTTCCACATGAGAACCCCCAGAAAACCAACCACTGACAAACAGCTCCCTGAATCCACGCAACTTTATCATTGTTTTATTTTCTAAAACGTTTTGCACCCTAAATAAAAAAGCCCAAGAAGATAAAAACTCAAACATCTGACTTGAGTATTCTTTTTAATAATTTTCCCTTTCTGTAGCTTGTTAGCCTGTTTCTGGGCAACAGCAGCTACTTGTTAGCTTTTTTGTTCCCCTTCTTCCTTCTTCTGTCACTGTTCTTTGTACATATTAGCTATAAAGATACCACGGTCAAACGATTTGCTGCAGTGGACATATTCCATTCTTTGTGGGTGGAAAGAAACATTTTATACTTCCTGTTTATAAAATAAGAGATTTTTTATTTCACTTTTTCAAACTTTTGGCTTAGATAAATAAATAAAAAAAAAAGCAAAACAAACAAAACAAAAAACAAACAAAAAAAAACAAAAAAAAAAACAAACAAAAAAAAAAAAAACAGGAAGGATACAATAAAGAGTATCTGTTAGCAAAAAGATGAGCAGAGACCAATTTTCATTTGCATTCTAGAATAAATCTTTAGACAGCACAAAGGACAATCAGAGTTGGAGCCTGAGGATTCTTTTGTGAGTAATTTAATCTGAAGTTTAATTCTCTGCAGTCTGAGGTAAACCATTTTACCTCTGGCAAGCAGTTCCTAGTGTCCTAATACCTAAAATCGTATGCTTGCATTTATTATCTCTAGCTAATATCAGAATGAATGTGGCTGTATTTGATGCTTGAAAGCCAAAGGAGTAACTTAAATCTGAGAAATTTTTTTCTTGGATTGTGAGTGGAAAAAAAAATCAAACTTTGTTTCTCATGTTACAAAAACTTTCTGAGTTATTTCACAGGTTTTCATTTAGCAGATGTAACCTCACAGTAATCAAAAGGTATTGCAGTCTTTAAGCATGAAAGAACACGTGTAAGAACATACCTGCCAGAGATGAATGTTATTTGCTGCTTTTCTGACTGTTTCCATAAATTGGAAACTGAGAAAACTCCTGCACCCACCTGCACACCCCCTGCAAAAAAACTCTTTCCACCACTTTTCCACTCAGCAGCTAGCTGGCGCCATGGTTTTAAATCAGACTCAGCCAATCCTAGCCAACCTAGAATGGGAAGACAGTGAAGTACGTGAGCATTAATTTAACCAAATTACATTATGCTCACACTTACTTTACTGAGAATTCAAAGATTCTGAGAATTAATAGATATTCAAAACTTTTTGCTACTATGCTGCTTTGCCTCTTTGGCATAATAATAGGTGCTTATTTCTTATCCCCTGTAGATTCTTTAAGTATAAGGAGCGCTATAGTGCAACTGTGGTGGAAGAATGCAAAGCAAGAGCTCAAGGAAAGTGAGCATGGCCAATTCATGTTTTATTCATATGAATCACAGTGGTTTTCCATGGAATTATTAAACTACAGGTTGGTGTTCATCTACAGTTTGTTTAATAAATGTAGTTGTTTATTGGAATGCCTAAGGAATGGGGTCAATACCCCCTCCACCCTTGCACAGCATGGCTCTTTGAGTAGGAACCCAGAGTAGTCATAGCGCTGACACAGCTCCTCTATCCCTCACCCCCATATCAGCACATGGTTCATTCTCCACTTTTCTGTAAGGTAAAGCAGATCAGAGAGTTGTCAAGCCCCTTAGGAAGCATATGCTGTAACCTTATTAATAGGATGTGAGAAAGTGTGACTCTTATGAGCAGCATCCCCTCAGCTGCTGTTGTAGTGGTGGGGTCTTGGCATTTTAGCTTAAATCTAAGCATTTTCAGCTTAAGGAAAGGCTGAAACACCTTCTCTTTAGAAAAATTCCTTAGAAATATTTCTTCATAGAATTCTTATAGAAGGAATTCTGGCTGTCACCAGTGGCACAATAACAGAGAAAGAACAAGAATATTTTTTCCTTCCAGTACCTAAGGGGGCCTACAGGAAAGCTGGGAAGAGACTTTTTATAAGGGCAGATAGCAACTGGATAAGGGTAAATGCTTTTTAACTGGACGAGGGTAGATTTAGACTAGATGTTTGGAAGAAATTCTTGACTGTGAGGGTGGTGTGACACTGGAACAGGTAGCCTAGTGAGGTTGTGAATGCCCCTCCATGGAAGCATTCAAGGCCAGGCTGGGTGGGCTTTGAGCAAGCTGGTCCAGAGGGAGGGGTATCTGCCTTTAGAAGGGGGGTTGGGTTCCTTCTAACTGAAACCATTCTGTGATTCTGTGATTTTCCAACTGACAAATTTGTTGATGAGTGTTAGCACTGCAGCTGCCGGGTAATAATCAGTTGATAATCCAATGAATACAAAATTGCTAAATAGAAAATACTATGTAGAAATTGCAGGTGTTCTTGTATTCATTCTTACTTTCATGTTATTAGAACTGCAGTACCTATTCTGAAGCACAGTCCTTGACTCTGAGTGGATTCCGAGTTCTACACCTACATTTAGCTCTTCTGAAAAGTCAAAGAAGTTTTTTTTTTTATACACTGAAAATGTGCAGTTAACATAGAAAATTACAATTTGAAGAGTGACTGTTATCAAGATGTGCTCAAAACCAGTTGGGATTCCTAAGAATGATGCAGCAAAGTGGAAATATGCTGCAAAGGGAAAGGACACGAGAGCAGAAATACTTTAAACAGTAAGTAAGACCCAGACTGGAGTGCAGTGCTGCAAGGATTAAGTGTGCTTACTGTTTCTTTGAAGTCTAAATTATTGTTATTATTATGTTACTTAAAGCCTCTTAATATTTAAACTGTACTTGTTCTAAAGAAGCATTTCAGAGCTTCCTGTGTTGTTGGCTGCTTCATGTAAACATTCTAGATCTGCTGTATGGACAATTTCTGTTTGCAATTATAACTGTATGACAGAAACACATATCATTGGATTATGAATTAAAATTGCATTAAAAATTAAAAAGTTTAAAGGGCGATATCTACTGCCTAGGAAACCACAAAACAGCAAAGCAGTGATTAAGCCAATGACTGATCATGTGTAACTCTAAAAATCTAATTCTTAAAGATTTTTTCTAAAAAGCAATGAGCACACAGTCAGTGAAATTCGTTGCGTGGCAGCTGAGAGTGATTTCTAGTCATCAGTCAGAACGATGAAAGCCTAGCCAGAGAACCTATTGCCATTATTCTTCCCAAACTTGAATATGGTAATTTACCTACTAACTGCAGAAAACACTATGAAGTTGTGTTAAGCTATACCAATGCTCTGTTTTCTATTACCCTTTTTCATATTCTTTTTTTAGTTTAATTTCAAGATATTCAGTAAGCAGATGTCTCCATGTCATCTCTCACATTTCACTGAAGCTATAAATTAACTCTCAAGTTAAATGTAAGTATGTAACAGGGAATTTTCCAAAGTTTGTTTGTTTGTTTTAACAATGAAACTACTTAAGCAAAGAAATCCTTGATAAAAGATTCTTTGCATTTTTGTTTAGGCAAGTGTTGGGGATTCCTATTTGGAGGATCCTTTAAGAATACTCTACTGGTTAAGCATCCTTCTGCACAGAAATGCAGAGAAGTGCCTTCTGAATATTAAGTCAGCTGTGGACTGCATTACTTTCACTAGTTCTGATTAATGTGCTGTTGCATCCTGGTAAGATTTATGAACTGTGAAGGATATGTGAACGCTCTCACTTCATGTCAAAGAAAGAGTGTGAAGAATTTAAATAAACGTAGCATTTAGATGGCCTGCTTTTGTCAGGATCTGATTGACTATGTCTGCCTTTCTAAAGCCTGCTTCTGTTTGCATGGTTTAAAATGTTTTTGGAGCTTGCAATTTCTAAACGCTAGTTAAATTAGCAAAGAGCAACCAAGCTATTGTTTCAACAAGTGATGAAGTCTTATGCTAAACGAGCTGGCTATGTTTACATCAGGTGTCAGATAACGGCGTAAGGTTTTAGGTATGTTTTTAAAAGACATATTTCTTGTAGTGTCGAGAGTTGCTGTAAAACATGACCAAAGCAGGAAAAAAAAAAGGTTGAGAAAAAGGTTGAAAAGAAAAAAGGAAAATACCTGTATCCATGTCTCTTATTTTGTAATTAAAATGTTAATGGTTATAAATAAATTATGGATTTGATACTATTTCCACAATTGCTTTCAATTTGGAAATTCTAGATTAAGTTCTTTATACTTCTTGCTGGTGGTGGTGGAGTTTGCCCTTTAAGTTATCTACATTGCCATCTCCAGTAATTACAGTCAAAACTATTCTTAACCACAAAAAATTAAGTTCACTCAATGGCAAGGAATGATTCTAATAATTGTTTTTAATGGTTTTAGGTGACAGAACGTTATATCCCTACTGGTTTTGAAGTAATACAAATAATAATGTGCTATTAGTTAGAAGCAACCCATAAGAATCCCTAATTAAAAGATGGAATTTGATTTTTATTACTACTATTAAAAAACACCTGCTTTCCGTTGCTTTCTTGTTCAATGTGGTACCATAATCTTTTCATTTAGACCTACCTTATGTTATGAAGGATTTAAACTAAATCAACTTACATGTGATTATGAGCCTTGAGGCTGAAATGAAAGATGATTCCTTTTACAAATCATTATAAAAAATAGAGCAATAAGAAAAAAAGTGCTTATTTCTGTAATAATTATAAATTATTCTGTGAGTAGAGAAGCCATTGGCTATTGAGGATATTTTGATAGTCTTAAAAAAAATTATTTAGCCTTTTGTTAATTTTGTGGAAATTTTTATGTCAATGGGATTACAGTTGTCCAATTAGCTTTGCACAGTTTTAAAGGCCAGACTGGATGAGGTTTTGAGTATCGTGGTGTAGTGGGAGATGTCCTTTCTCATGGTAGGGGGGTTAGAATAATACAATCTTCTAAGGTCCTTTCCAACCCAAACCATTAAATTATTCTATGATTCTATGAGTTCTAGGCATGACTGACAGAATGGGATAATTCCTGTTGTCTTCGATGTGTTTAACAAAAACTTATATGTCACTTGTATCATATGTACGAGTGGTACCTGCTGGTTCAGAAGTAGATAAAAACTATTATTCTTGATAAAAATTGATAAACCTGAGTTATTGCACTCAACACAAACTTGCTATATGTTAATTTTCTCTAATCAACAGCTCATTAATAATCGTCAAAAGCCTTCATTGAAAGTGTAGCTCTTTTTTTATTATTAAAAAAAAAAAGGCGTTGAGAGGAAGGATGCAGAATTCTCAGTAGCTTCAGCAGAGCTGGGTTTTTAGGCAGAGCGAGCAGTCCAGTCTCTGGTCATGTTCACACTGTTGGGACCAGCTCTGGAGTAGTGTGAGGAATGGAAATAGTTCTGCCAAAAAGTGGGCGGTTTCCTCTCCTGTCTTGTCTCATATTATGTTCCTCATTTTGTCTGTGAATCACCAAAGATCCTTTGTGATGCATTTGTGGTGTAGTTATTTATATATCCAGCACTCACCTGTTAAACAAAAGGTGATATACAAAGTGCTGCTCAATCTGATAGCTGTTACTACACCATAGCCAGAAGAGATTACTTGCAAGTTTATTTCAGTTATACCTAGGTCTGCAGTGAAATACTATATTCACATGTTTCATGCGTGGACTGCAGAATAGTGTCAAACAGTAGCATGAGCTAAAAAGAATGCTGGCTTTTGCGTAAGTCTTTTGTTCAAGTATTGGATTTCCACCTGGCTGGTCTTAACAGGTTTGTGATCAAGTGAATCCACGTACAGAATTGGTTAGGCTTCTATTCAAAATGTACAAAATATCCAGAAAGACTCACTTAAACCGTGATGGCAAACCTGCACAAGGAGAAATTTGCCTGTCAGGCTGGGGCCAGTGACTGTGCTCAGTACTAAAACCTGCAGGTTTTTTTCTCGGAGGAAACACTTCCCTCACTAATGAGAAAAAAAATGTGCATTTCTCCTTTAAATGCTTCTTTTGTGATGCCATGAGATGCATCTGTAGAAGCAAACAATGGAATGAATCAAAACTGTGTCATTCTGTATTTTAGAAACTACCTTACAGAAGTAAGGACAAATCTTGCCCTTAACAAGTAAATCAGTTTGAAGAACAGGGCTCTGTGGTGGACTTCCCAATTCCCACAGCCAAGATGACAACTGCTGAAAATACTACTTCAGAGAGCTCTCACAGAATTTCTATAAATACGCTTACATAAGTCTAATGATTCAAAATACTGCCAGAACATGAATGTTATATGATAGGGATTGTAACTCTGACCTTGTGTGGTGATGTTTGAGACAAAGTTTTGAACAGTCTCTGAATTTTGAACTCTGAAAGATCCTCACTTATATTAAATACTGGAACCATTGTGGCAGAGTGAGAAAAAAAGGTGTATTGTTCTTTCATGAATATGAAATTGTAATAATCTATCAGAGTAACAGATATTCCAAAAATAATAATGAAAGACAACTTCAGCATACTCATTGTAGCACCTTGCATTCAGGATTTCCTAAGATAAGTCACTGACAGAGGTTCTCCCGTTCAGGTTTAGATGTAAAACTTAATCGAAAGTGCCTCTCTCCTCTGAGGTGATGTGACCTTCCAACTAAAACTACACAAGTATTTTATTTGTCAGATGTTCAAAAGGAAGGGAAAAAGCACTTACAATATTAAGGCAAATACTAGGTTTTTTTTTATTTTTTCTCTAGGAGAATTCTAAGTGGTGCCAGATTTCAACATTGCTGTTTATTAGCTGTGCATTTAACCCTGGGTGTTGTGTGAAAAGCCTGCGAGTGAGCAGATTTGGGATCTGTAAGGAAGAAAAGTCTTTTTTTAATGGAAATATATTACCATGTGTTAATATGATGTTAATATGATAGAATCTTAGAATCACAGAATTGCTTGAGTTGGAAGGGACCCCAAGAATCATCAAGTTCCAACCCCTGCCACAGGTAGCACCACCAACCTCCATATCTGGTACTGGACCAGGCTGCCCAGGGCCCCATCCAACCTGGCCTTCCTTGAACTCTCCAAGGATGGAGCATCCTCAGTCTCTCTGAGCAGCCTGTTCCAGCACCTCATCTTCTGTGTAAAGAACTTCCCCAGTATCCAGTCTAAACCTTCCCTCCTTGAGCTTAAAACCATTCCCCCTTGGCCTATCACTGTCTACCCATGTAAAAAGTTGATTCCTCTCCTGTTTACAATCCCCTTTTAAATACTGTAAGGCTGCAATTAGGTCTTCTCGCTTCCTTCTATTCTCCAGGCTGGGCTTGTTCTGCCCAGCCCAACTCCCAAAGCCTATCTTTGTAGCAGAGGTGCTCCAGTCCTCTGACCATCTATCTTAGTGCCTTCTTCTGGACCCTCTCCAACAGCTCCACATCCTTCCTGTGCTCCAGACCTGGGCCCCAGACCTGGACACAGTACTGCAGATGGGGCCTCATGAGGGCAGAGTGGAGGGAGACAATCACCTCCCTGTTGGCCACCCCTCTTCTGATTGAGCCCAGGATACCATTGGCCTTCCAAGCTGTAAGTGCACACTGCTGGCTCATGTTAAGTTTTTCATCCACCAGGACCCCCAGGTCCTTCTCTGCAGCGCTGCTCTCAAGGAGTTCTTCTCCTAGTCTGTATATATAGCTGGGTTTACTCCAACCCAAATGCAAAATCTTGCACTTTGCTATATAGAACCTCATTAGGTTCACATGGGCCCACTTTCTGAGTTTGTTGAGGTCCTTCTGATTGGCAATATAATATAGGTTCTGAAAATATCTTAGCATTTTTTAGTTTGGTTTGTTTTTAATCAAAATTATATTTTAAATCCACTCCACTTAAATATATTTCTTTATATCCTCATGCATAGAAAGTGTATGTTACTTCAAACTCAGGAAGACCTAATGTTTCCACCAGGAGTGGAGAGAAGGCACTATTTTCAGTCTCTGTATTTGGGTGAATTTTATCAGGAAATAATGCTTAAAATTTTATAGTGTAGCTGGGTTGCATATTCAGTGTTCAGACTTCAAGCTACAGTAAGTTCATTACAATAGCTTATCTTCTGTATTAGTGTTTACAAAGAGAGACAGTCTCTCAACATACCTGTATCCCAGTGGCGATGACCTATCTGACCTCTGCTTCGTCATAGGAGTGGGCATTAGAAATTACTTTCTGCCCAGAAGTAGACACAGATGGAATCAATTAATTACTGCTTGCCTGCTCTGACAGTGATCATCAACACAATGTAGCTAAGCAATACTAATCTCTAGAAACCATCTGGAACCATTAAGACAAACTATATCTCCTTGCCCAGGGGAGGCAAAAATTTTGGAAGCACTTGAGGCCCACAGCCTTTCTCAGAGTTGCATACTGTCACCAACTGACCAAAAAAAGGCAAGAACCAGAATGAAATCTCCAGCAGAACTTTCACCACCTATCCTTGTTATGATGAGCATAATGGGATTTTTGTGGCAGTGTGTCACTATTTAACTTAGTTGTAGATGAAAACAAACAGTGATTTTGAAAGTAATAACAACTCCAGGATCAGCAGAAGCAGCAAAGAATTGGCTAAAACCTAGGTGTGATCCTGGGTGGATAAGAGGACCAAAAATGTGTTGAAGATCACCAGATGGTGATCTGTGAAAGCTGTTTTTTTACTCCAGCTTTGACTTGTAGATGTGATTTAGTATTACATTTTCTGATTAAATCCCAGAGTTTCTTAAGATCCAGACTGGATTTCATATGGCAGAGACTGTAGCCATGATCCGATCTAAATCCTGGCATCCTCCTCCAAATGAGAGGAATGCATGTCTGTTCAAGTCTACTCAATCCCAGTCTTACTGCACTACTTTGAAGGGTTTTAGCTTATAGTAGCCCAGTTTTAATTTTTTTCCTTCCTCTCATGTGTTCCCATCACGGTAACTTACCTTCTCTAAGTTCACACCTCTGTGTCAGGAGAGCTTGAAATAAAGTGGCAACATGATAATTTAGTACCTGTCTCAGCATCCTAGTTTTGATTTCTCCAGGTCCTGTGTCACTGGTATGGAAATGCCTAGGCTTAGTCAGGAACTGCATACTCTATATCAGTGTATCAACTGTGTACTCTGTATCAGTATATCAAGACAACAAGAACAAAAACTAATGAAGTTTTTCTTCACAGTACAGCTTTTGTATCCCTTTCAAACACTGTTTTAAAACATGAGGGGAGGTCTAGCAGTGCTATAGTATTTTTAAGGCATTTTTTCATGTACAGAGATTAGAGTAGGAGTAGTTTATGGGATCTACCTCAAAAGCATGCGGAAGTGCATTAGGATAACTTTGCAGCAAGGAGTTTAAACCTCCAGCTCCTTCTGGATTTACATATCTGCACCATGCATGTCAGGCCCTGATGCACTGACAGCAATTTTCTGTCTCTCAGAAGAGAAGGGGCAGGTGTAAGACCTGTTTTATTCCGTAGCTGCAAAATCGGATGAGTCTTTCTTAGCCAAAGATTTCTTGTTTAAGTCTACATTGAATTGGGTGCTTTAAACACGTGGATAACATAAAAAGTATGCATTGGAGTCAGGCCATTGGGCCCAAAGCAACCATGGAAAACTTAAAACTCCAGTTACTGTGTTTGAAATATGCAGCCCTGAAAAAAGGGAAAGACCCTTTTTCTTTATTTGTCTTTGAGAATTATAAACAGCAACAGAGATGTAGCAAAAGCAAGTGAACCCTTATGAACCCTATTTAGCTGATTCATTTCCTTTTCCTGGAAGCAGATAATGTGGCTTTATGAGGTACAATTCTGGCTGCTTGGTTTGTGGGTTAATGCTCAGTGTGCACTGTTGTTGCTGGTTTTTTATTATTTGAAAAAATATGTGAAAAAGAGTAAGACCATTTAGAAAAGGAATGGAAAATACAGAAAATCATACAGGGGGAGGCAAAATCTCCCAGCTCAGGATTAGTTTTCATTTATTTCATTGTAAATGCGGTGTCATTTAAAAAGAAAAATTAAAAGGCTTGATGTTTTATTTAAAAATATTTAAAAGAGAAAGAGTGTGTGTGTAAACCAGGAACTTGCCATAGCAGATAATGTGCATGGAGTGCCTAGCTCCTGGCTGGAGCTGGTCCTCAGCTGGCAAGTTCACACTGCCAGCAGTGAAGGTTTTTAGCTCCTTCTTAACCTGCCTTTAGGAATTACTCATGCACACACCTTATGATGATTAGTATAAGCAAAAGCTCTTACAGTACCTACTTGTCTTTTTCACACTGAATTTGAGCTCAATGGGACTTCTGCCCAAAGGAGGTAAGGCTGCTCTTATAGATTAAGCACAGGTACTGGCTGCCACCTCTTTTTAAATTGTAAGCTCATCTCTTTGATGTTTAGAAGTTCAAAGAAAATGTTGCAGTGAATGGAAGTCAGGAAGGAGAGAATATCATTCATTTCAGGACCCAGTTGGTTTTCAGACTGCTTCTTGCTCTTACCCTACACAC